TCTCCTATAAGAACAACTTCTATTTATAATATTCTTACTTTAGTTTGTTATATCGAGCGTTCTAATATTGAAAGAGATTCTTATAATTTATATATTAAATCTAATTGTTATTATATTATTAACGATAGTTTATCCTTATAATGTTCTAAGTATATTTGTTATAAGAAAGGTTGTTATTATTTGGGTTTCGAAATATCCTTTAATTATAAATCTTTAGAGTGATAGCAAGAATTGTTATATTTAAAAGAAGAATATATCTTTATTTAAGTATAAAAAATTAATACTCGGATTCTTCGTTTGTAGAAATAGTAATAGTTTCTTTATGATTGTGAAAAGGAAATGATTTATTGAGATTTTTGTATATTAAAAGAATTTGATTTAATTAAGGAAAATAAGAGATTAAAGAAAGAGAAAGTTGAGAAAGAGAAATTAAAAAAGGAGAGAATAGATATTGTAATTGCACTTGCTCCTAATGATTCTTCTTCCTTTGATTTCTTCGATCCTTTATTGTCTGTATTATTTGATATTGAGATTGAAGCTTTATTAGTAGATATAAGTAGTTTAAGTAGAATGCCTATAATTTCTCAAAACAATTGAGATTCTCTTTAAATTCCCATATGTTTTCTAAGTATAAGTAATCTAATTATTTAATTAAATATTTAACTTTGCCTTTAATATATTTGTAATTTAATATTGTTTTAATATTATATATAGCTTTTAGATTAACTAATTTGATTTCTGTAAATAGTATATTAAATGCTTTAATGATATTAATTCGAGCAAGGATATATGAAATACTAAATGAATATTTATTATATCTAATAGTTTCAATTAATAATTAACTATTTCTATTACCTTATTAATCTTGAATAATTCTAGTTTCTTATAATTGAGTTTATTACTTAGTCTTTTAGTTTTAATATTTCTTTATAGCAAATAAACTTTATCCCCCTTTTTAAGCATAGATTCCATATTATATTTCGTATTATAATAAACTATTATTCTAAAAGAAATAAATTTTAGATTAAAAACAAGCTGTTTTTGTAAATCTTTCAATTGTTCGACTTATATTATTACTAATTCGGTATTAACTTTTTATAACATCAATATTTGATATACTTTAGGATTGAATTTAAAATTAATATATATTAGTATTATCTTTATGGTTTTTGTTTTCAATGTGTTATATATAAATTATATTATAAGTAATAGTTCTATTTAATTGTTTTGTTGATAATTTATATAGCATTTAAGATATGCTTTTATTATTTGATTGATTGATTCTTTCTGTTTGATTATTTGTTTATAGATGGAAAACTGTTGATAGCTTTCTTTTAATACTTATAAGTGTTAATAAGGTAGCTTAGAATTTCGAGGTAAAAAGCTTGTTTTAATTCGAGATTATCTTATTTAATATTCTATATATATTTATTATAATTCTAAGAAATATATATACTAATTATTTAATATTTTATATTTCTCTGAATAATATTATATATATAAATTTAATTAATCTATCTACTATATTAAGTATTGTATTGTATTCAACTTTTGTAATAGAATCTTTTAAGAGTAATAATTTAATTACAAAGTCCTATATAATGGATTTCTATAATTGAGAAGGTATATTTGAGGTTTAAAGCTGACTATATAGTGTATGTTGTAATGACTTGTTATATATACAAGTGTTACAATTTCTAATAACTTCTTTAATTATCATTCTTATTTATAGAAAGTAACTGATTTCCTAGATTTTTATAAATATTCTTATAATCCCTTAATATTTATATATCAATAATTTATATTGTTTTGTTACAAATTCCTTAATTATTTAATTCGGAATGTATACTTTCCTATGAAAATATATGGTTTCGTTTTCTATTATGAATTCTAGTTTTATTGCCTTATATATATGTATAATTGTAGCATTCTTATTGTAATATAATTGGATTTGATTTCTAAGATAATTGTCTTTTAATATATAAGTAGTTATAAGCTGTGGTGTATTATAAATTAATGATTCGCCTTCTTTTTTGAATATTGTATATAATTTGTACAACTTATTTTCTTAATATTCTGGTTTTCAGCTAAGAGTATTAACTTTAGTGTTTTCTGATCCTTTAATATATAAAATCTTAAAATTATAATTAATTATAATCTCCAATTATCTAACCTATTATCTATTTAATTACTTCATTATAATAAAATAAATCAAGTTCTTATAATTTGTATACATTTATACTAAGTATTTTGATCCTTTCAAATAAACTTGTTATTTTTTAAATATATTAATTATCATTAATAATTCTTTATTATATATTTCGTAATTCAATTCAACTAGTAATAGTTTTTGAGAGTAGAATATAATTGATTATTATTTCTTATTCTAATCTGGTTGATTCTGTTACGGGAGCTGCCTCTAGGGTCACGTGGAAGTGTCTAGAGATCTCTCGAGGTGGTTTAGACTAGACTTCAAGTAGGAATTCAATAAGGTTGTAACTGGTTGCAATTCTCGTAACTATAGTAATGAAACTAATGATTGTTCTTGAGCACGAAGCTCTACATTGTAATGAAACCCATTCCCTTATATAGACCTTCGTTCCTTGTTGTCCCATTGATCCCATCGTGTCCCACCAGGTGGGAGCAGTGGGATCCAGTGGGAATCTCTAATCCCGTGACTTTCTGATCAGGTGACTCGGTATGTTAGATGTCGTCGTAACATAATTCAATTGAAATAAAAGCTTACAGTGTATTTAGATTAATAAGACAATTCAATTAATACTAATTTTAGTATTAGTAAAGATATTCTGAAATGATTGAAAATAACTTAGCTGGTTTGAAAAAAAATCTTTCTACTTGAATATCATAACAACTATATATTCAATCAATTTGAAGCCAATTCATATAATAATATCAATTAAGCTCTTTCGAATACTCTAATTAGTTTTTCAATAAATAACGGTTGAAAGAATAATGTATATCATTAAAGTATTCTCATTAAACAAATTGAATTGTTCATCAAAAACACAACCAAAAGCTCTCAGACTCTCGAGGAGATAAACATTCCCCTCAATCCCTAATTAGCCGAAAAAATTCGATCATTAATAAACCACAACATCATCATAAACAAAATCAAGGTATTATTTAGAATTCTAATTAAAAACGTTTTATTAACGAAGAGATTCTGAATATTGAGATAAATGAGATTGGTAATGTTGGGACAGGGATCATGTGACTACGCTAGCGTTGACGCTAGCGTCTTCCGACACTACAGCAAATACGTTTCGTAGCCCTAGCTTTTAGAACCTCAAGCAATATAACAACAGTGTGAACCATAGTACTATATTGACTTCACCATCCCCATGGTGATACCAACAGGTAAGTTCTCAAAACGAAGGGTTGACTGTGCATAGCCCCATTACCTTCTCATTTCCCATCACATTGCTATGCGTTTAAACCGAATTTGCAGTGAATGCTGGGAGTGCCCGTTGTATTTATTGATCGTGGCCTGCCACCTTCCATCTACCTGTACTCTACTTGGTTGTCTCGGAAGCTCGTTCACCAGCATTGCCATACTTATTACTTTTGCCAGCAGCTCTCAATAGTGATAGTCTAACATTCTCGATCCTATGTCGACTTTATATCACTATGCTGATATAAGAGGGATAGATTCTGCCACTTGAATCAACAATATCGATAATGTAGGTTTTGGGGTTAGGTATTGTCACGATTCCGAAATTGATATACAGTTTTAATAGTTACCAATTCGGCTTCTTCGTTTAGTCCCAGAGCAAGTACCGGAAAGAAAACATGACAACACCGTCTGTTACTTCGTCGGAAGAGACTGAGCAATCAATTCGGTCACTCGACCCCGTTCCTACTGCTCTACTCGAACTTGTTTCCTCTGACGGGTATTACGATTTGATAACATACGAATTGGGTACCGAATTCACCAGTGTACACACTGCACGGGTCAGAGTACGCTCAAATCAATTTGTAAATCTGGCCGACATCAAGCCAACCTTTTTTAATAAATGGCCCGGCTTTCCACGTAGACCGGATTATGCAAAGGAAGTTTCGACAGCAAAATATTGATACTGTGTCAATCCGATAGGTGGTGCAGAGGGTATAGTGATTATTGATCGAATGAAAGATGGCCTTTATTCTAGACCTGAAGCCTCAGAACATAGGAAAGACTTAGCAGCCATTGCACGCAGAATCCCCTATCTCAAAGATCGATACACAAATACCGATATTAATGATCATCCAGAAATCTGGCTGCTTGCCGACTACATCCTTTGGCTTACCAATAAGGTCATCCTAGGCGGAACCAACGTAACTAGAGAAACCCCAATCTAGATATTTACAATTCCGTCTAATTAGAGCAAGAAAAGCATCGATTTGTACATGATTGCTTTCAATGCTGCTCCAAAGCTCAAAGGCAGATACGTATTATAATCAAAGATTGAAAGTGCGCTCACAGGATTGATAAACCTATCCCCAAAGAGTTTGAAAATGGAGAATTGTACTTTCTTCTGTACATTCGATGTTGGCAAGGGGACATCAGTTTGTAGATCCCTCTATCAGTTACTGAGCCTGCACTGATAGAATTTTAGAACTTTAGTATCTCTCGTCAGATATCCCAGAACCCGGTACAAGTTGAAGAAATTATGCCACCTGTAAATAAGTTGCTAGCCTTGTGAAAGTGAATAGTCTTGCTGACATTATCACTAGCATTGCACGGGGGTGAAGGCGGTGTAGAGAAATCTTTTTAGAAGTATGTATGAGATCAATAGCCGGTTAAGTCTGGACTTCCAGATGGCTTCAAAAAACGAATAGCCATAGCAAAAATATGGTTCGTTAGGTGGATCAAATCATGGAATGGAAATGAAGAATATAAAAAATATAGATTCAGTGATAGAAGCATCAAAATCATAAGGTAAATCTTCTTCGTTATATATTCACACTTGCCAACTACAAGTATTGATATTAGTGAGCAAATGAAATCTTGGTTCGATAAATGGGTCAATAGCACGACAAGTTTTCTCAGAGAACAACTTGGAAGTTTAATTGGACTCGAGTCTCATATCTTGCCTGGTAAATTCTTCCTTTTGGGGGGAGCTAGCAACTTCTCGCTTTTACACAAAGGAATCAAAGAATTTCTTCATGTCACTATTCCTCAAGATCTTGATATAGTTGACTTGGGTACTTGCAATTGGCTGGCATTCATCATTCTTGAATCAAGATATCAATATCTGACTATGAACAGCGCAATGATAGTCTCTTACGGGGCCATGCTTCAGGCACTAAAGCCTACCAATTCCTTTACGAAAAGCCATCACTGGATTGGCATTCGCAAAGAGGAACCATACCGCAAGCGTATTCACGTCTCTCCGCTTGACAAAGATGATATCCTGGCTAAGAGTAATGGTGCTGGGGAAAGCAAATATGATCAAGCCAAAACCATTCAATGGTTGGTTAAACCGGTATGTTGTTGGATGCTAGATTTGGGGAATAAAATAGTAATAGTGACTAGGTAGATGCTTGCAACATTGCTGATTCTCTTTAGCAGTCCGGCTTTCATCTTTATGGAAGAGATTTTCGATGAGGTTGGATTAGTGGAAGACCCATGGTACAAAGTACCTGTTAGCGTGTAATTTTGTTCACGACCAGGAGACGTCCAACCTAACAGCGCGGCAGATATGGAGGACGGTGCTGGAAAGCAAGGATGGTCTTTTGAGAGTCAAATTCCTGCAGATGCGAAAGTTTATAATTTCGAATGGGATTCCTATCTTGATAAAGAAGATTCGCTTTTCTACATCAAACAAATACCTTCGCTCAAGTCATATTACACCATCAATTGGGCAATCCTTACCGAAATAACAGGCATTGGTATGGATATTTGGTTTCTGTTCCATTCAGACGGTCGAACCATGAGTAAGACCGACAAAACTCAATCCCTCCGTTGGGAAGAAATTCAAAAAATTCCATTTGGGGATCTCGTTAACGTGGTCCAAAAAGAATACGATGATGACCTTAAGGGCGAAGATGGAAGGAAAGATCAAGCGTGATCAAAGGATTTACGAAAGAGTTGCAAAGTTCAACTCGAAGTTTAAGATGGCCTTTATATGGAATGATACTGATTCCAACGATCCGAGTTAGACTCAATCGTAGTGTGCTCTATGATAGATTGGGTCTTTCCGGAAGTCTACTCAAAATTTAGCTAAAGAGACTTCTGCGATAGCAAAATAGACAAGCCTAGCTTAGAATGAGACAGCTTTGCTGCATTCCAATAAGCACATAATCTGCAATTGAACAATGTAATAGATCTACACATCTTCCCCTGAAACAATTCCGCTATCCATCTAGATAGTATGTTGGCTGTCTACTTGTCGATTCTGCATTTTTGATTAATAAGGACAATAAATATAGATACATGTAGGAATAGCATTTAGGTACGAACGTGCATATACTGGCACGCAACCGGCGGCAATCAAAGATTCTCGAACTGTAGCGGGCGTTTGAAGTATCACCACAAGTTGTCCCCAAAAGACGTTCTGATATGAATCAGTAGGGTGTTCAAATCTTCTCGGCAATCTGCACCGGTGTTATGCCGACAAACGTCTTAAGGATAAGGGACCAACTTTATATCTTACCTAGCTTGTGTTCCTAATTCTACAATTATACTGGAGAACTTTAATTTGATATAGAACACATATACATTCATCAGAGACCTTTCAGACTCGAATCTTTGTATCGCCGCTACAAAGCACATTGCATTCTGTAGGTCTACGTGACAGCTTTATGAAACAGAATACGAATGACTTCTTTAACGAAAGGATTGATTTTTCTTTCAGGATAATCAAAGTGTTAGAAGGTTTAGGGTCAACCTCTGAATCGTCTTGGTCGAAACAGCTACTAGGTGGTTGATCGTGGGGATGATTAGCTGATAAGTACAACCACAATAATGGTAATGATACAAACATCAAGACTTCGTTTACCTACCTATAGGGGAAAGGGAAGTTTTCCAAAGAGCCTCAACTCATCTATCCAATAGATTACCTACCTAGCACCTCCCAAGTGGAATCTGACATAATATCCTATCCATATCTATGTCACATTCCACCAATCAATGTATTCTTTGGCAATACTCTACCTGGGTTAGCCTAGACTTCGGAAGCGACCTGCATGAACTATCAATGATCAACATTTTATCTCTTCAGCCTTACAAGAAATTTTGTAAAACACCGACAGCTGCCAAAACCTGCTCGCAAACCATCGAATGGGGCTTTCATTCCCAAGACTCTATTCTATCATGGAAATTTGGTATGTTGGATTGTTTTTTTATGATTCTCTCGAGGGCCCCCATTGCTGTCCCCATTGCTGTCTCCATCGCTCGCCCCCAATAATATTCATGGATATGGAAGATGCAAGGCTTGTTTTAAAGTAATCTTCATGTAGCAACATTGCCATATTTCTGGGGTCCTTAGGATCTTCCTATTCTGCTCTCCGAAGATGAACTATATTTGTGGTTGTCCAGTGCTGCCTTTCCGTTCGCATTTTCACTTCTACTCGGGCATGTGTCTGACCTGCATATGCCCCTCGTAAATGCCTCTGCAAGCCTCACAAGTATGCTTAATGGCAGAGATGATGCGAAGATTGCGTATCTCTCATTTCCTGTGGCCAAGAACGGCCAATGATAGTAGCGAGTTTGTCCTGGTCTGAGTTTTGAGCATCTGGCAGGCTTCTCAGATTTAACGAGGCCTATGATCAGTGATCCATCATTAATCTGGATCAATTTCCTGAATCTACCAAGCGATACTTCCTCCAGGCTTTTGATGGCTGATTTGGCTGAAGCCTGGTCACTCCCACATCCCGGCGATTCTTTGTCGTGGGTGATCGCACTTTTGGTAGGAGAGAAAAAAGCCGGGGCTATCCCACACTCTCTGACTTTGGGTGTCATGATTGCATTCAGCCCTTGACATCCGGGATTTGCAAGGTTCGATGTTTGCCGGCATGCAGATAAGGATCAGGAATCAAGATCTCTAGGGTTTTTTTACGTAGACGCCTTTACCAATTGTACTATAAATTGCGTTTCGTGCCGAATTCAATGATGCGGCCACATATGTGGTAAGAGGTATCCTTCTTATGGGGTTTTGCCGGCTGATTCTACACCCAAGTGTCATCATATCCAAGTCTTCTCGCTCCTCTTATGCCCGTGGTCACAAATTTGTGGTATCTCACCAACCGCAAATTCTTGGAACGGATTCTACGATGCCTAAGGTCAATTTATTATGCGGGCGAAATCCTTTCCGTTTGAGAATTGACCCTTCAAATTGAACTACCGCTCTTATTCCTGAACTGCCACCTTACCCAAGATCCCGGTGTACCAACTCGCGACCTGCATCACCCTAGTAGTCAACTCTCCTCTCATCCTGTAATGCTTTCCTAGCTGATGGCGTTGAACTCCTAGAAATTCTGGGTAAATTACACCAATACCCTTGTGTTATCACAATTCTATCCAGTTACATCAAAGGCACTTGTTTGACTCGTCAAGTGACCTAATACTTTCTCTGTTATCATGGCTAGATACCTCATCTGGTTACAGGATTGCCTGGTCTTCCATTTTTACCACTTTTATAACACATCTGACAATTTAGAATCCTGTTAAAAACTCAAATTTCCTTCCGAGTACATGAACATGGTGATAACCGGCATTCAGATGGCAAACAACATGATGAGAATTGCAATAGCAGGCTCAGGCGGCTTGGCCCAGATCATCGCTCATGAGATCAGCAAGACTGTACATCCATTCATTATCTTATCGAGACAGGTCAGTTGACTTCAGCACGTCGACATCTCTGAACACATTTAACTAATGTCTTTAGGGTCAACCAAATCTAGAAGCACACGGCTATCAAGTGGCATTAGTCAATTACGATGACCAGGATGATCTTCGCTTTAATCTTCGAGGAATAGATGTAGTCATTTCCACGGTATCTGGGAACCCTCAAATCAACCTCATTGATGCTGCCGCGCATTCCCGTGTTCAGCGTTTTATCCCTGCAGAATACAAAGATAAGCTAGGCGGGCGACCAACGAACGACCCATCAGACCGTGGAAGGGCTGCAAGCATTGAAAGGCTTCGACATTGGGCTCACCACCCCCGTCATCGAATGCAATATACTGTTTTTGCATGTGGAGTTTTCTATGAACGATTCGCTCCAGGAGGCCTAGCTTCAATGAGCATCAGCACTTCAACTGCACTCGGCTATCAAGGTTCTTATCTCATGAATATGGAGACAAACACAGCAGAAATAGCGGAATATAATATTATGGGCCAGGCCATTTCAGTATCAATGACATCTGTAAATGATGTTGCACAGTTCATCGCAGCAGCTCTGTACTTAGATCAACGGACATGGCCGATAGAGTTCAGGATGCAGGGAGATCAGAAGACTGTAACTGAAATTGTGCAGTATGCCGAAGCTATCAAAGGACGTAAGTGCTCATCTATTTACCTGTGATAGCACCGCCAATGCAAATGCTAACAATAGAGCAGAGCCATTTACAACAACAGTGATTGCAGCTCCGGAGCTAGCGGCAAATATCCAGGAAGCAGCTTATTACCAAGACCATGCTAAAGTTGGCCGCTTACAGGAGCTGTCTGTTACTGAGGAGAGAAGATACGACTTCTCGCAGATCAATCTGAATTCATTGGTCAACATCCAGCCAGTCTCATTTTGGGACTGGCTACGAACCCACTGGACACCTCGGTGAACTTACACTAGCTTGTCATCAAGGACTTATATACAACATCAAGATCCCAAGGACTCCAGCCTCAGAAATGAGATTGTATGGCCCGATATGTAGGATAGTTACTGCATGGGTTTTTCACTCAATCTTGCAGTACTGGAGCTAACTGGATATAAACTATTAAGGTAGAGGGAGTGGATGCGAGATCACTTGGACCGAAGAAGTAGGCAAGATCATCGCAAGCGAGGATTGTGCACCGATTCACAATTGTTATAGACTTATTTCCTTCATTCTTATTTGCTCAAGTTGTATTTTAGACGTGTTACTCATCTAGACAAATATTCTCTTGTTGAATGTGACGAATATGATCAGCCTTTTTTGTCCTTGCCCTTTGATATACACTGTGGTCTATATAGACAAATCTTTTGAAATATTTTTCTATCACTGGTATTTCGTCAATTGAAAAATCACTCAAATGTTCAAATAGCACAGTAGCAACAAGATAGCTGAATAGTATTGATGGGATATTGATGTTGTATCAGGGGGACGATCTCTTCCAAGCCTTTCTCAGAAAAATGGTGACCTTCAGCATTGTGTTTGAGCGTTTGCATAGAGGTGAATGGGGCTGCGAAAATGTACACAAGCCATGTTTGACAGATCATGACTGTTTGGGGATAGATTATAAGAAGCATGTGAAGTAGAGATAATCAAATTTGTTTCCTTGTGGCAGCAAAAGACAAAACAAGCTCAAGGACCGTACTATCCTATCATTTAATCAGAAGATTTTTGTATAAATACACATAAATATACATCAATTTACAGTAGTGATTGTTCAAGAACATCAGCACCAAACTTCTACATGTCTTGTCATGAAAGTTTTTGAGCAAGGCATTGGATTGGCTGTGTGTCACATGATCTGTATAATTCCGACACTAGCGAAACGTAAACATTGAAACCCCCATGATATTGCCAACCCAACCAACGCATTCAATCACTCAACCCAGCAACCCGCGATCCCCCACGAATTCCCCTCTCGAACAATCCTAACTCGAATACCAATATTCATCAATTGACGCGACGATACACGAGATAATCGCGCGAAATCTATCTCGATCTCCAGTTCTAAGGCGACAATCGCCCCGACAACAAGAAATTCAAGAAAGGAAATGCGCTACTAGGACATCAATGACTACCCTCGTACGAGCTCGGAATCCTCTAGAAACTCTGAAAATGAGCCAACAACCCGCGGCGCGAAGAAGGAGTAAAAGATTGGCTGGTGGGTTGCGATATTTCTCACTTTTTGTGTTTGCGATTATGGGAGGGGAATGCTGGAAGATGGATTTTTTAAAGTACATTAACCAAAAATTTACTGACAGAAGTACAGGTTATGAGGAAGAAGATGGAGATTTTCAGTTCACGCGTGTGTCCAAGAAGGCTAAAACTACTGTATCTGTACCGGATCCAATACCAGAGGCACCGCCTGTAACGACGACTGTACCTAGGAGAACTAAAAAGGTAGCCCGTGAGCGCGAAAGCCACAATGCTGCACCGACATCATCACCGCCTGTCAAGAAAACGAGAGCAGCACCCAGAACAAATCTTTCAACGCCGAAAGAATCGCGAGTAGAAAAAGTACAGAAACCTAAGGATGAAGTCGAACCGAAACGAGCAACAAGGAAAAGTACGCGTTTATCAACTGAGAAAATTCAAAATGGGGACGGTATTTCCATGAATGGAAACAGGGATTACGACAACAGTATCGATATGATTAGTGGTGCACCTATGCCAGAGGAATCGAATAGGTCAACTATAGAAGCTCCGAATAACACACACTCTACCGTCATTGCCTTACCATTTAGCGATACACCAATTATAAATCGAAATAAGGAATTACGAAAGAAAGGCGGGACGGGTCAGAGGAGAAGTAGTTTGGGTATGCGTGGGAGGAGGGCAAGTTCACTCATTGACAGTGGATATAGCGCAATACCCCACAAAGAGGTCGAAACCTCGCAATTTTACAAACATATTGAGGATGGATTACCTGAGCCGAGAAGGATGAAACAGCTCTTGACTTGGACCGGCGAAAGAGCTTTGCCGGAAAAACCTGCGCATGGCGATCCGGATAGTGGTGCAAAATTGGCAGGTGGGTACTTTCATCATATACAAGGTCTAGAGACAGGACTAACGAGTACAGCGAGGGCAATATCTGAAGCTCTTCTAAAAGATTTCGGGACTAATAATACATTTTCGAATTGGTTCGATCGGGAAGAAAAACAGCCTACCAGGATAACGAAAGTGGTCAAGAAACCCAATCCTAAGAACATCGAAGCAGAAGAAAACATACAGGCTTTAGAAGCACGAGTAAAACAGTATGGGTTATCCTTCTACTACCCAACATACGGGCTAACAATTTCTAGACTAGAAATCGAAAAAGCGCAATGGATATCCTACAAAAAGCCCACTGCTCCTCTTCCACCCCTCTTCCCAGATACGCATGGCGAAGCAAACCCACTCTCCCCCACTCAGATCGATCCTACTCTCCTTGACCCCGAACAATCTACTATTCTCTCCCTAATAACGTCATCGTCATCTCTATCCCTGCGCGAAAAGGCCTCGGAAAGACTCAAAACTATTCATCAAGAAATCGAAGGGAAAGTAGATTGCTTCTTGGACGGCATACATAAAATTGAACGCTATGCGGAAACAGTAGGAAGAGTCGCGGATAAGATATTGGCGTTGAGTGCGGTGAGGCTGGAGGAGAGAGAGAGGAGAGAGAGGGAGGTAGTGGGGACGAGGGATGTGCCAATGGTAGAGGTGCTGAGGAGTTTGAGTAGAATTCTTCCCGAGGGGAGCACGAGATGATCTTGCCTGTGTTTATCAATGCAAGTCTCAATCCATTTGCTGTGCAGTGGAAGATTCCATAATTACAGGGGACTCCGTTCCGCTTCACTAGAAATTTAAGGCTTGACAAAATATATGGTTTCAATGGCCAATCCCGGGGAAGGCTTTTGCGATGGAGATTTTAAGAGGGACGGGAAATGAGTAGAGCGAAGATGGAATGTTCAATGAATGATGATAAAGCGACTTTTGGCAAATAATTTGTTTCCTTCTTCACCCGTTTTTGGCTATTTTGGTCATTGTGAACTGGAAGAGTAGATAGTAGGCTTGCTTCTTTCTTGTTGAGTTTTTTGTACAAATGGATGGGACAGGGTGTGGAGAACACAGTTTTCATGGAGTAAAGGGAATGTTTTGGGGCATAGGGGTGTTTGTGGGCAATACCTGGCATTGGCATTGGCATTCACATGTTACGATGAGGACAATTGCGACGGTGGATTTGATAGATCAAATGAATCAATCAACAAGACACATGACAATCTTGACAAAATTGTCGCTGAATTGTTTCATAAATATGGTATGTGCGGGGTATGTGGTGTGATGCTAAATAGAGGCTAGCTTTTAGTCTCTACTTCTTCACCTTCTGTAAATCACAATCTATTTTATTTCTACTGATAAGTGTCAGGAACTATAGTTAAATACTTGTTTCGTCATCCTAATGAATGTAGTTTTGTCTGAAGTTAAACTTGGATCGTATATGCTGGAGAAATGCGATGGTAGGGATATTAGTAGAGAGATGGTGTCGGAGGCTGCAAAACTGTTTAGTCGAGATTATGGCGTACAGTAGTACAGTATGGGGTTCGTTAGCGAGCGAGACAATGAGGGGTGAACAGAAGAAAGGTAGGTGAATGTTTGGTGATGTGGTTAGTTGCATGGTTCTGGTTTGTTTCTGCATGATTTAAGTTGTTTGGGACGTATTGAAATCAGTTGGGGCATCCAACGCTTTTAGGACATTCAACTGCTTAATGTTCAACTTATTCGTGCATTCAATTTACTGGAAAGCTTGAACTTACTGAAACTATCAGTCCTGTCTAGTCATTTGCTATATTTATTTATCAAACACACAGTACCGATCAAAATTCAAACCCCCACCAGTTTACGGATCAAAATTTCAAGTTGAAGACTTATCACCCAAATTATACCTCCCAAGGCACATAATATATACGTCTGCCTCCTATTCGACGGCACGTTCGCAGGCAACGTTTTTGCTACCCGCTGGCAGCACGAAAGTCTTTCTATTCTGTGGATTACACAACTGTGCGTAGATAGTAAACATAGAAATCAAGGGGTGGCTATGAAAATGCTTGGAAATTTGAGGGGGGAAGAAGAATTTACAAGAGGTGGGGATTTTATCAAGTCATCCTGTTGCTTTGATGGCTGTCTTGAGGGTTTAGGGGAGGGGAGTAGAGGATATCAGTACGGATTTGGAGATGATGAAAGGAAGTGTGGAGGAGGTGATGGAGGGGTGTCCGGTAGGGTATGTGAAGGAGGCGAGATCGAGAGGCTTGCCCTTTGGAGGGTTGCGTGACGGGTGTGAATTTTTGGTGTTGGTGCCTGTTAAGGTAGGGCAAATTCCTTGAATAAGCAAGTCTTATTTCAATGTTTAGTTTGGATCAGAATCATCATTATATTGTTAATATTAGTTATTCTGTGACAAACTGTCTTCCCAATGTTAATTGCCCATTTTAGCTCACCGGAAGCCGAAAAGATCAAGAGCTTCCAGAAAATTCTCTTTGGAATGCCTAATTCAAACACGGGATTTCAGCTCTACTTGTCAGTGCAAAGATGAAGTACAGACTGACGCTGTACCGCAATGAAAATCTGAACGCATCTCGGTTTCCAGCGCAGGGTACACACTTGTGTATTCGTGTCAGGAGTATATCAAATTTCAAGCTGCCATTAGGAGCCAAAACTTGGATTGAAATTTGAATATAAAAGGAAAGAGAGGCAGGATTCGATGAAGGAATAAGTTATCAAAGATTGTTTATGAAAAGATTCGAAAGAAAACCGTGAACGCTGCGCAACATAGCTCACCGGGCGGGAACCCCCCCCTAGAATTGTACTTTGCATCGTACCCGAAGAGATCAAGAGGATTCATGAAATGGGGTATCAAGACTTTTATTCCTATTCAATTTCTCATTTACAGGCCACAACGCTATTCATGCAATGTGACATAACGCAATTATATGCATAGCGCATCCCGCCGTATTGCATCGAATCCCCCAACAACTGATATCTCCAGAATCATATTATTCTCATACACATGATGAACGCCTCTGACCACCCCGGAATTCCCACGCACGCATTTTCGATTCTTACATCCCGTCCTCCTCCTCAACCATTCTCACTGCATCTCATCCGACTCCCTCAACCACGCCCTCGCCAAATCCTTTGCCAACCCTAACCTCAATACCCTCAGAATATCCACATCTGTCATGCCCGCATTAATCCCTTTCCTCCAATCCCACCCTCT